CGAAATGCAACAAAATACTACTGACAATCAAGCAGACTTAAAAGGTGTGAAAAAAAACGAGGAATGATGAAACAGGAAAAATGATGAAACAGTTACACACATTCTCGATAAATTCCTTCCTCCAAAAGAGAAATAGCACAAATTTGTTTCAACCATTGAATCGATCTATATGCAAAGCTAATAACTTGTTTAGCGACGATAACAGCTCATTCGACGTTCCATGCTTCGGTAGATCGATTTAATGAGGAAATATACATTGAAAAATAGAAAAGATAAAAAAATTAGGACGAATAACACGAGCGGTGTCAATTTTTTTCATCGGCCGGTAACAAATCGATGATACTCATATTATCTTGCATAAACCGGTTCTAGATATTCTGCCTTCGTCATGTGTGTATTTTTAATTATCTTTATATCTTAATCATCTCGATCGTAATTCTATAAAAAAGAGACGCACAATTGCTAACAAATGTTTGTCAATTTTCATTCCAATGATTATTTTGAGAGAGAAAGAGAAAATGAGTACTTCTGATCATTTACATACAAATGATTTGATGTAAAAAAATTTTTTAATTTTTGTATGCAGTTTATAAAAATTAATATCATGGAAATTTTGTTAAGTAACTGTTTCTATGCGCGCGTTAAATTTTATTTTCGCAATTCGATGATCGAAACAAATTATACGCAACCGCGATAAATCATTAATTGAATTTCTCTCGCATGTAAGCTATGCGATTCATAAATTAAGTTTAAAATCGCCCATTCAGAATTGCAATTTTGTCAGAAAAGTTGTATCAGTATGCAGAGTCGCTCATCACGATAGCTGCGTAAGAGTAGGTGACCTTAAAGGATGTCGATCTTTGAATTGGAATAACAGTACCGACATTCTCGAAGGCGTCCAAAGGCGAGGCTGCGTTCGTCAACAGGTGTTGGACGCCTCCGTGTCGCTAGTTGCCATCCAATTGCGCATCTGCGGACACGAATGTCTTCTTCTGCAGAAAGAGAGATGTACATTGATGACATCGCGTTTTATTCATTTTTTAATTAACCATTGCGCCAGATGGTTCTCATCGAATACCTAATTGCTTTGCGATTAGTTAAATATCGCAAATTTTCAATATTTGTCTTGTTGTTACATGATGTTGCAAATGCTGCTGTCTTATGAGCCACACATTTTAATTACGCGTATATAATTTTATTTACAAGAGTTTACTTGAAAATAGAATAAAATTTTTTACGTTATTGATTTTAATTAAACAAGTTTTGTTTTCTATTGAATTCTAAGGTTTTTCGCTGCATATTGATTATTCTTTTTATGCGCGGGTTTTTGTCCGACTCTTTTTCGACTTTACGCAGCTCTTTCTATGTACGCGGGTGTTCCGTTTAACGATGACGTTGCGTCGAATGGTCGGATATAAAAGTGCAGCCCTTCTTGTACGTGACCGCCGGCCTTTTATGGCGCTCATAGTTATAGCGCACATACGTACATACACATACATTGCAGTGAAATCTTGTATAGCGAGTCTGTAGCACCGAGTTTTGTGGCCGGTCTTTACGTAGTTTTCCGACGTGGCACAGCAAATGCAAGGAAGCAACGTGCAGGAAGCCAGGAGTCCGTGGAGAGTAGTGAAAAAGGAGGAATCTGGGGATGTGCCGGAGATGATGCACTAACCGAGAGGCCATAACCGCGAGTGTGCGTCGGCCGATCTCTCGCTCGGTTTACGACGCGATTTAATACCGCGCTCCGCTGGTGCTCGTCGATCCCGATTAATCGCGATACGTCTGACGCTGTCAAAACGCTGCCGGCTGCTCGAGGAAGTAAAAGAGTATCACGTATCGTATCATATTTTACATTTCTCTATGTAAACGCACAAGCGTGTGCTCAATGTGAACATTCCTTGTGTGTTGGAACTAATGTGATAAGTTATGATATCATGTTAATATAATCTGGTTCTTATTCGAAGAGTGCTTTTTTAAATTAACAAAGAATCAAATCGCTAGAAAAACTTTTTAGTGATATTCTCAATTTTTCTCAACAATTTTGCAAATATTTTAAAGCAAAATGTTAGCTCCGTGATTACAATTGCATCTTATAATTAACTAAAAACTGCCTTGATAACATTCTAAGCATTGCGGACGTCAGCGTACGAGTATACGAACGTCTATAGTTTAATGACGTGTGCAATGGTGCACTGCGTTGAGAAGCTAATCTACATAGTGACGTATTGTGCATTCTCGACAAATGCTAATTAATGTAGAACATTAGAGGTACTCGGGCTGGTATTTTGAAAATCCATCATTTTTAGCCACAAGAGAAGACCATTGGTGTAACTTTATTATAAATATGATATTCTATTGTGTCAGAAAGCAGACGTGTTGTAAAAATTAATCATACAATATAATATATTTTTTCTGCTCTCTCGGCCGTGAATTTGGCACATCCCCAATGTATGTCCAAGACTAATAACCGAGCTGATTTTACACGATTACATAAAAATTACGTGATGAATTATTTTATACATTTTATTTGTGGAAATTTATTGTCGTTCTCTTGAAGAAGTTTACAGACGCTTTGCACTATTGCTGAATATTATCCAAAATTTGAAGCGCATAAAACTCTGTTTCGCTGGTTGCAATAAATCTGTATTATTTTACATCCGTGTAGGATCAACGTTATTACGTACATCAACGTTAGTATATTAATGATCCGTGATAGATGAATCATAGAAACAAGTAAATGGAGTCGGATGATTACATTGTACGATCATGCTTAACAATAACCATAATATGATGGAACAGAAAAAAACAAAAGTGTGGTACTACTTGCTTTCACATTATTGTTATATATATTGGTTTGCATCGAATGTAATAAAGTAACAAAGAATTAGAACAACACTCTAAACTATAAACAATAAACACTTTTGTATGTGTATTTATAATAGTGTTCTAATGAACGCATGTACTTCGTGCGTTTTTAAACCATTTTTTCAAAAGATGATTCTTTAATAAATATGTCATTACATATGTAGTCATACATTCTTAAATTAGTTGTTGACAATATTATTTAATCGTAATTGTTTTTAATTTTTATTTTTTTACTTTATAATTTTATAGAAAGAATATATTCAATATTATAATTTTAACTTTTACTTTATATTTATGAATATTTAACAGTGTAAAAAGAGATCGAAATGAAGTGCATTGCTATGATTTAGAATTAAATTCGTGAGATTTTTAAATAAAATAGTCTGTGGGTTTAAACTTAAATAAAAACATTTATTACACTATACGCTCCGCAAAAAATATATAATAGCTGAATACATGAATAGCTGCTGATATTAACGCCTACGTACATATATTTATATAATTTATATATATATAGTGTATATTGTATATATATTTATATGTATGTATATATGTATATATATGTATATATATGTGTGTATATATATTTATATGTATATATATACAATATATGCATTATCTGTTACACATATAATATGCTATAATATGCTATTATATGTCATACATAGTTATATTTCTTTATATTACACATTCTTATATGTTTTTCTATTTTTATTTTTTTTTAAATTTTATTATATACAAAATGTTTTGAAAATAATTCCAGTTTTTTTAATCTTATTAATAGGCACGTTCCATAATAGAAGCTTACAATTTTTATAACAACATGAATTTAATAATAAATATTTTTGATTGAAGTAAATTTCGAGTTCTAATTTAATAAATCTTTATTAAGTTTTACTTAACAAAATTCAAGATTTATTTGTATTAGAAGTATTTGAACTTAGTAATATAATAAAAATATTTATTACTAAATCTTTTGTTTCTATTTATATAGATGTTACTTACAATTTTAGTAATTATTAACAATTTTAGTACGCATTAATCTTGTTTTAGTCTAATCATAAGATCTTTTAAAGTGTTTCATATTTTTGTATAAAAATTATGAATATATTTACATTTTTATGAAACATGGCCATAAAATTAAAAAAAACCGTAAAGCAAACAAGTAAAAAAATAGAAATAAATATATGCTTGTTTTAAAAATTGGAGTCAGCGTTGTTTATAACAAAGATTAATTTTTAAATTAGTTACAAAATGATTACTGATTACAAAAATTAACTTATGTGTGAGAAAGCTACTTAACATCTTTCATTTAATATTACGAAATTTTTTTTCCACAATTAGTATTATTAATTACTAAGCATTATATTTTAAAAAGTATAGGAATATTGAAAAATAATGCCAAATTTAATATTTTGTCATGTTGTATTTTGTCATGTTTAATTAATTATGTTAGTGAGTTATTTTGTAAAATATATAATAATAGTAAAAATTAATAAAATATTGAAATTAATTTTAATTATTAAATTATTAAATTATTAATTTAATTTTTTAATACTTATTTAATTTTAATAATTAGTTAACAATTAAAACTGTAATACGTTAATAAAAAACATTAATTTTGACATTATTTTTTTCGAAATCTACAAAAGTTTTGGCCATTTTAATAATAGTTAAATTGTCACGCTAATATAATATAGTAATCTAGTATATTTAATAATACTAATAATAGAGAGATAAAAAAGTTTTATCCTGATGTCAATATTAATAATGTTGAGTAATCGGTGTTAGATTCATACAATTTGTATTGTTTTACACATAATTTTGGGCGCAAATTATTACAACGAAGCCATTGTCTAGATTGATTTAGATTCTCAGTCAAATTAAATATAGCTTTCCGTTCATTTTCGGAGTGTCACAAACTCGCATGCAAAGCAACTATTCGATACACACACCTTTCTGTTTATAAATTCTAATAATTCAAATAAATGAAATTATGCATTTTAAAGGAACATTAAAAAAACGTCAGCAAATTAGAAAACAGTTTCTAAAATTCCTTTATTTGAATTTTCTTCTGCGTTTTCTGTATTTTTTTATTTGAATTTTCTTCTGCGTTTTCTGTATTTCTTCCATTTGAATTTTCTTCTGTGTTTTTGTATTTCTTGCATTTGAATTTTTTTCTGCGTTTTCTGTACTTTTTCCATTTGAATTTTCTTATGCGTTTCTTGTACTTCTTCCATTTAAATTTTCTTGTGCGTTTCTTGCACTTTTTTCATTTGAATTTTCTTCTGCGTTTTCTGCACTTCTTTCATTTGAATTTTCTTCTGCGTTTTTATTATTCTCATTCTGTAGAAAATAAATTGATTGTAATTTTGGAAACAGTATCTCTTTTTGTTTAGAAATTTAGATGATGTATTGATGATATAATAAATTCTTTATGCGCATATGTATGTACTAAAATGTACTAATGTATTTATTTATTCTATGACCAACTTGTTCTATAAAATATACCAGAGAAGTTTATAATTGTTGGCATCTTTAATATCTTGGACACCGTGAAAATTATAAAATAATTTTTTTAATCTTTTGTCTGTGGCTTCTTGAATCTATACGTATACATATAGTATATATTGCATATAATATAATTTACATTACATTTATATATGTATATACATATACATATATATATATATATATATACGTATACACACACACACGCACGCGCGCGCGCGCGCACGTGATTATCTCGATAACTATAATAATTTAGGTATACAAAAAAATGTTTGCAACAGAAGTTGTTTGGTCTAAGCGCGCCGCAGTCAAAAGATTAAGAAATGTATGACTGACTAATATTTTATCTTATAACGTAATCGATTTTTAAGCTTATGTAATTATTTCCGAGATTCGAGATTCAACTTTGATTTCTTAAAGTGCATGCTACATGTTTATATTTATTTTATCTGATAGCGACTTTTTAAACAAATATAATTATGTATTTGTATCTCATTTGGTGCACTAATTGCTAGCTCCTAGTGAACTTTGTTGCCATTTTTTATAAAGGAGTATCATATATCAAATTGTTCTTTAAAACACTGCGCGACTTCAAACGACTGCGCGACTTATCACAACTTATCTACTGCTAGTTTTTAATATGAAATATTTTTATTCTAATTATTTTTTAGTAACCGTAAATAATTTGTATAATAAATTATTATATTTAGTTTAAACACTATTAGAAAATATATGTAAATAATAGAACTTTATTGAAAAAATCGCGAATTTTAGCGTTATCTCAAATATGATTTTTAAATCTCAAAACTTTATCAATGAAAAAAAAAATAAACTGCATTATATAAAATAAAATATCTTTTACTGTATAATAGTTTATAAAATATTAAAGATGTTAATAGTTATTGCACTATTCTGTGTATTCCGTCAGGTATATTTCATTGCACATTTTACTTACATTGTCCCTTCTAAATGCGTCTAAATTCGAATTCCTAGGAAGGACATCATCTTCGTAAATACCTTCGACTATATCGTCCTCAAACATTATTCTAAATTCGTTTAAAATAATTTCTAATTACTTTCACTTTATAATGGAGTGTAAGAAATTTTTTATATTTACAAGTATACATGATTTGTCAACCTCAAAAATATGTGATGTGATAAAGTTTTTGAATAGGTAACACAATAAAGGACTATTAGTTTTGTCATTGGGGAAAAAAGCTAAAAGGTATTTACAATTCACTTCGAAAACGTTAATATAGGTTTGTGAACGTGTTAATAAGGAGTTAATTCTTAGAAATATTACTAAGCTTATCATGTTTCATCTTTAATTTAAAAATTATTTGTATTTATAGCAATAGTAATCATTATTTAGTTTTCTAATTTAAGAGAATTATTTAGCGGCAAATTTACACAAGAGGAAGTTAATATTACTTTTAATCTTTTTCTTTTCAAATAAAGTTTTAAATAATTTATGAACTGCTAATATAATTGTTACGGAAGTAAATTATACTGATATAATTATTTGTACACAGATATCAAGAAAAATCAGCTTACACGTACTGAAACAAACAATTAATAATTGTGATAACTATTAGGTACACTCCAACACATCTCCAAAACCTAATGTTTAACATTATGGTTATAATCTTCTCATTAAAATTTTCATCATCGTGTGTTTTATTTTGTTCACTGTTTAACATATTTAACTCCATATAAACTGAAAAAATAAATCTGATTGATAACAAATTATATCTATAATTAATAAATTACATTTGTCAAAAAATTCCTTCTGAATTAATGTTGGAAGTGATACAAGTTTACTGTTAAGAAGAAAGTTTTTTTGCTTGATATAAAAAGTCATATTATTTTAACGAAATGAACTAAATTGTAAAAATGTATTTTTCTTATGTTTCTTTTTAGTTAAATCTATTAATGTTTTAGTATTAGTGAATCAGTAGTAATGAATAACTTGTAAAGAAAAGTAAGCAATTAACAAGTTGATTTTTTGAATAAAAACGCAGAAAATAATTCAGCAAAGATGTAGACATTATAAGTTTAAAATATGTGACAGAAGAAAATAATTAATGTATAATTTGTTTATACAGAGTGATTCAAAACAATCTACTGTCCTTGCGGTGTCATATTCTTGAGCGAATTCTGAAACGATTTTTCCTTTTACAAAATTTTGTCCGAAGCTTAGTTTTCGAGTTATAATTGAAAATAGTTTGCTACTTACGAGTCTGATACAACGGGCAGGCAGGGACGTGCAATGCGTCATGCGACGATAGTAAACACTTGACAGTCTCATTATTATATTTACGTTGCGCGTCCCTGCCTGCCCGTTGTACCGGACTCGTAAGTTGCTACTTATTTTCAAGTATAACTCGAGAACTAAGCTTCGGACAAAATTTTGTAAAAGGAAAAATCGTTTTAGAATTTACTCAAGAATTTGACATTTTAAGAACAGTAGATTGTTTTGAATCACCCTGTATATGATGTAAACCAGCGCTCGGAATTAGTTGCACATTTCGGGCCGATTTCCGAGACAACGCCTCCTGTTCCCCCACTACCGCTCGGCCGCTGGCGGCCGAGCCGCCGATAGCTCTGGCTCAGGAGCGTTTTATATTAGAAATAGGCTGGATTGTTTAGGCATCTTTTGGGAAATTGTAACATTTTCTTCACTACATAAATAATGTTTATTTTTATTAATACATAATATATATATATTTAATTATTAATGAAAATAAACATTATTTATGTAGCAAAGAAAATATTACTATTTTCTGAGAGGTGCCTCAACAACCCAGCCTATTTCTTATATAAAACGCTCCTGCGCCAGAGCTATCGGCGGCTCGACCGCTAGCGGTCGAGCGGTAGTGGGGGAACAGGAGGCGTCGTCTCGGGAATCGGCCCGAAATGTGCAACTAATTCCGAGCGCTGATGTAAACACACACACAACACACACAATCATGTCATTACCATAAATTAAAAATATATAGATGATAGTCGACGCTATTTGCCGTATATTATTCATTGTGAGATTTTCTATGGTTTTTTCCTTCTAAAAAATAAAATTTTAGGTTACAATTTTGTTTCTTTTTTTATTTATACTTAAAGTTATCATTATCACAATATTTTTTTTATTTTGAAATCCATGATGTAAAAAGTTTGTGCAAAATAGTAAAAGAGATTGATTTTCGTTTCATTGCAAGTAAGAAATTAGAATAGCGCCGAATTGCGTTCAAAAGGAATGTAGTAAAATATTTATAATACATGTATACAGGGTGTCCGACAATTGTTGAATCACCTCTCGGGTGTAGGTAGAGCGGTTTAAACCGAATAGAAAAGTCCTCTATCATTTTGCGATTTTTGCAATAATTAATAGGGAATTAGTTAAAAAATATCGGCCAATTCGCGCAAGTTTAAGTGCGCAGCGAGAAGAGACCCGTGGCGGTACAGTCCACTGTTATTTGGTTACTAGGCACACGATGAAGCGTTGGGAGGAGCGCTCTACAATTGATAACGGCCACATACGAGCGGTGCTGAACGCTAGATCCTTGCGTCCTAGCGACCACGTAACAGTGGGCTGTCTCTTCTCGCTGCGCGCTTAGACTTGCGGAAATTGGCTGATCTTCTTTAATTAATTTCTCATTAATTATTGTCAAAATCGCAAAACGGTAGAGGACTTTTCTACTCGGTTTAACCCGCTCTATCTACACCCGAGAGGTGATTCAGCAATTGTCGGACACCCTGTATATGTATATTAGTAAAAAAATCGCCACTCGCAGATGTTAAATATTTTAATTAACAATTTTTAATTTTTTTATATTATAGTCAATGTATTAAAGTTAATAATTTAATGACATGATAAATATGGAGTATATTTATATACAGGGTGTTTCATAATGTCCGTGCCAACGCTCGTGTGCGAATAGAGTGCGGTAATCTGAATAGAAAAGTCCTTTACTGTTTTGCAATTTTCGCAATAGTAATTGAGATATTAATTAAAAGGGATTGACGAATAATCGCGCGTTGCGCGTAGCTAGATCGTGGGCTGTACACTCTAAACGTGACAACAACGAGGATCGCATGGCAACGAAAAATAACACGTAGCGAGAGCAGGAGTGATATGCGTTGTTATTTTTGTTGCCATGCGATTCTCATTGCTGTCACGCCTAGAGCGTACAGCCTACGATCTAGCCGCGATCAACGCGCGATTATTCGTCAATCCCTTTTAATTAATATCTCAATTACTATTGCAAAAATTGCAAAACGGTAAAGGACTTTTCTATTCAGTTTACCGCACTCTATCCGTACACGAGCGTTGGCACGGACATTATAAAACACCCTGTATATGCTACACTTATGAGTCATATCTAATATTGTACACACAATTTAACAGTACATCTACTCTCTAACAAGAAATAACTAGTTTTATCACAGATTTTATTAATAATAATTTGTCAAATCTTATTGCGATATACAAAGTAACATGATATTAATATTACTTAATTTGAAATAATATATGATAATATTCATATAAATGATTATTGATGTCGATACCGCGATACAGAAGCACAAAATTCTAAAGTAATTCGACAAAATATTTTGTTTTGTTAACAATAATTTTAATATAAATTTATCAAATAGCAATAAAATGTACATATATGATAATAGATATGGTAAATTCTCAATGCTATACTTAATACCAAAATTTTATTTAACCGATCTAATATAAAAATGATTAATATTACAATATCACTTTGTTGAGCTTACCAATTTGAAACTTCCTAACGTCTGCGTTTTCAGAACGACACTATGACAATGAAGCAATCGGGTTATTAAATGTACATAAGTTCTCGACTTCGATGTGCTCATTCGCATGAATCTTATTGGCTTTGTCCACAAATATGTTTATCCTTACACGTCCGTGATTCTCATTGTGTGTATCATATCATTAACTCTTATATGCTGTCCTTGACAAGAATCTTGAAATAAATTTCGACGAATCTATTTCTTTCAGTTATCTGCAGATTTTTTGTAATAAAAGATTATAAAGTATAACACACAAAAGGATTTTCGTCCATCTGTAATTAGATTTTGCATATAACGTTGCTGCGTTTGCTATCGATATTTTTATACTGATTGTTATTGACTTACACAAAAGAAAATATTACTTTAATTTAAGATAAGCTTATAAAATATTTAGTTTATATCACCAATTTTTCAAATAGTAAAATTTTTTGGATTTGATAATAATAATAATTAGTGAATTATTAAAAAAGTTTTAGTTTTTTGTTTATCATAAGATTAGTTAAAAATTTCCCAAATTTATTTAGTACTATTAAAATATTTGTACTATGACAATCTATAAAAGTTTAGTCCACAATGTTGAACTTTTACATGATTTCTATATAGAAAAGTATTGTATTTCGAATATATTATGAAGTGATTAAAGCAATATGGTAATTTGAAACAGATAAATATTTATAAAATTAACTAAAAATATAAAAATTTAAAACTATTAACAATTAAGATTGTCACAGTAATTTATTGTTTTTAATAAATGCTACAATGCTATATACAATAATCTCTTACTGGTAAAATTTTTTTTTTTTTTTTTTTTTAATGTGTATCATCTTATAGTTTTTTTCTTATATTTATGAACTTAAATTTGTAAAAAGAGATCGAAATGAAGTGCATTACTGTGGTCTAGAACCTAAATCTATAACAAAATTCTTAATTAAAATGGTCAGTATGTTTGAACTTAAATAAAAGCTTTTATTGTACAGTGCGCCCCATACACACAAATTACTGAAATAACAAGCGATAATTTATAACGTAAATATAAGTAGCAATTAAAAATACATAATGCATGAATAACTGCTTAAGGCCTAAAGACTAAGTATAAGTATATACTTATAATACATTTATATATTTGTATAAATTTATATATATATGTAAGTATATATAAAATTTATATATATATATATCTTTCTATTTCTATTTTTTTATGTTTTATGTATAATATATGAAATTTTTTGCATAGAGTAATTCCAGCACTTATAATCTCATTAACAGGCACGTTCCATAATAAAATTTTACAATTTTTGTAAGCATGATATTAATAACTTTTAATAGTTACTTAATAAATTTTTTTATAGAAATAAATTTAAAATCCTAATTTAATAAATCTATTATTTTAATAAAATAAAATTCTAGATTTATTTGTATTAGAATTATTTGAATTTAGTTACATAATAAAAATATTTTTTGCTGAATTTTTTGTATTTATTTACATAGATGTTACTTACAATTTTAGTAGTTATTAATAATTTTAATATGCATTAATATTGTTTTAGTCTACTTACGAGAACTTTTAAATTGTTTTATAGTTTTATATAAAAATTATGGATTTATTCACATTTTTATGAAATATAGCCAAAAAACGGTAAAACAAAAAAAATAGAAATAAATATATGCTTATTTTAAAAAATGGAGTCAACATTGTTTTTAACGAAGATTAATGTTTAAATACGTTGCAAACTGATATCTGATTACAAAAGTTGACTTATGTGTGAGAAAGTTACTTAACATCTTTTATTTAATATTACGAAAATATTTTTTTTCCACAATTAGTATTATCGATTACTAGGTATTATATTTTTTAAAGTATAGCAATATCGAAAAATAATGCCAAATTTAATATTTTGTCATGTTGTATTTCGTCATGTTTCATTAATTATGTTAGTGAGTTATTTTGTAAAATATATAATAATAGTAAAAATTAATAAAATATTGAAATTAATTTTAATTATTAAATTATTAAATTATTAATTTAATCTTTTTAATACTTATTTAATTTTAATAATTAGTTAACAATTAAAACTTTAATACGTTAATGAAAAACATAAATTTTGACACTATTTTTTTCGAAATCTACAAAAGTTGTGGATATTTTAGTAATAGTTAAATTGTCACACTAATATAATATAATAATCTAATATATTTAATAATACTAATGATAGAGAGATAAAAAGTTTTATTTTGATGTCGATATTGATGTTGAATAATCGATGTTAAATTCATGCAGTTTGTATTGTTTTACACACAATGGGGCGCAAAATATTACGAAGTCATTGTCCAGATTGATTTAGATTTTCAGTCAAATTAAATATAGCTTTCCGTTCATTTTTTCGGAGTGTTACAAATAAATGAAATTATGCATTTTGAAGTAACATTAAGAAAATGTCAACAAATTATACAGTAGTTTCTAAATGAGTTTTTATATTTGAATTTTCTTCTGCATTTTTTGTAGTTTTATTATTCTCATTCTGCAAAATTTTGTAAACATAAATTAATTGTAATTTTGGAAACAATATCTTTTTGTTTAGGAATTCACATGATATATTGATGATATAGTGAATTCTTTATGCGCATATGTACTAAAATAATGTATTTACTTATTCTTTGATCAAATTGTTCTATAAAATATAAATCTAGTATAATTTATATCTAGTATAAAATCTAGTATAACATATACTAGAGAAGTCAATAATTGTTGACATTTTTAATATCTTGGATATAATTAATAGTTCCACCTACTGCACACAACTTTCAGTTGAAACGCGCTGCAGTTAAAGGGTTAAGATGGCTTTAATGGCTGATTGAAACTTATTCTATAACGCAATCGATTTTTAAGTCCATGTGATTATTTGCGAGGTTCGATATTCAGTATTGCTTTCTCAGAGTACTCTACATGTTTATATTTATTATCTGATAACGACTTTTGAAACAAATATAATGATTATATTTGAAACAAATATAATGATGTACACCATTCGGTGCACAAATTGCAAGCTCTTAATAAATTAGTTGACGTTTTTTATAAAGATGTTTTTATATCACATTAACTTGCTATTTTCCAAAACACTACGAAGGATTGACTTATTTATTAATACTATAGTATAAATATATATACTATACTATAATAACATGATAAAATTATAATTTTATCATGTTTTTCTTTCAACATATCTTAAACTAATTCAATTTTTTTATGTTTAACTTTGTATAAATTTTTTATATATGTATATGTATAATGAAAGGTATTTTGACAAAGTATTTTTAATAGGCATTAGTGTCTTTCCAAATAAATTTTGATTTTATAAAGATTGCTATTGTTTTATGTTTGTTTTTATTATAAACTATTTTTATTTTATTTTTATACGAACTATTTTTTAATTTTTGTAACTTTAAACAATTTTGTATTATAAGCTATTATATTTAGTTTCAAAGCCGCTAAACAATATACATAAATGATAGCATCTTATTAAAAAAAAAACAAAAATAAATTTTAAGTTTTGGAAATGATTTAATTGACTAAAAATTAAATTGCATTATATAATGGACCATTTTTTATTTTATAATAGTGTTTTAGAAGTCAAAGATGTTAATAGTTATTGGATTATCTTATATAAATCTTATATATCCGCGTATATTCTACTGCATATTTTACTTACATTACGTCTAAATACGATGATGGAATGCAGCACGTTTTCATGGTGTCGTCTGTGCTGAGTAGAGGTGATTATCGCTATACTATCTTTGCACCTAAAATAACATCTACGATTAAAATTATTGCTAATTATTCTTATTTTAATCAAGCGTGAAAAATCGTTTATACAGGGTATTCGTAAAGATTGTGGCCAATTTTATAAATATAATGTGTAAAATAGAGTTTGGTAGGTGAATAAAGTTTCTATGAATCTATGTCCGAAATTGCATTGTTAAAAAATTATAAAGATTTACGTTGAATTTACGATTACGAGTAGAATTGTTTGGTAATTATTCAGATTAGGTTATACCGATTAAGTTAACTGTGATTCTTCTGTCTGTGAGACATGCTGTGGGGTAGGATTTTTAGCATGTAAATTCCCATAAGAACCACATATAGGGAACGGCACTGGTTGTAGAGATGTAATAAATTAAATTTACGCATGTATTGTATAGGTACTTAATTACCGAAGGAAAATTTAATTTGTTCTGTATCTACAACCAAATATTGTTCCCCACAAGGTCCGTGCGGGGATTTACTCAGAAAAACTTCTACACTATATCTCAATAGCAGAAAAATTGGTGAAGTGTAACCTAATTTGAATAATTTCCAAACAATTTTGCTCGTGAGTCTTCGAAAGCTTATAACTTTTTATTAAATCATTTTTGGATATAAGTTATATAAACTTTATATAATATAAACTTTTTTCATTTATTCTCCCTTTCCCATGAACGCATGTATGTTTGTCCCAACTTTTATGAACACCCTATATATGTATTAATCTCGAAAATACTGTGATGTGACAATTTTTTGAATAAATAGCACAGAAAAGGATTGTATATTAGCTTTGTTATTGAGAGAAAAAGCCAATAGGCATTTACAATTTGCTATGAATTTGCGCATTTTAGAAACGTTAATATAATTTTGTGAACATGTAAAAAAGGAGTTAATTTTTAGAAATGCTAAATTTACTGTTTATAATTTATAATTATAAAGTTATTTTTTTATATCAATAATTGTTACTTAGTACTTTAATTAATAAAATTGATTAGAAGCAATATTACATAATAAGTTAATATTGCTTTGCCAAAATTTTTATTTATTTATTTATTTTTTTTTTGATGAAGTTTTAAGTTATATATGTATTGCTTATATAATTGCTAAAGAAGGAAAATATAATGTAATATTATTTGCATAATAGATATTAAGAAAAATCAACTTACCCCATCGCACATACTGGACATATTATTGAAAAACAAAACGGGCTATAAATATGAAAAGAAAAATTTCAAGCATGATTTTGAGAGTTATTTTAGTTTCTAGAGGAAAATCTTCATGTTTTTGTATAGATTTTGATATAGGATACACATTATTTTCATCTTCTGTTTTATCTTCACTGTTTGATGTATATTGCATTATAATACCTGCAAAATAAATCTAATTAATAATCAGTTATTATAACTAATACATTGAGTTTGTTAATAATACATATTTGTTTTGAATTAAAGTTGAAAGTGATAAAAGTGATATTTACTATTAGGGAGAACCTTTTCTTTGCTAGATATAAAAAGTCATATTATTTTAACGAAATAAGCTTTTAAATTGTTGGAATATATATTTTATGTTTTTTTTTAGTTAAGTTCATTATTGTTTAAAGTCGGTATTAGTGAATAACTTAGAAAAAAAGTAATTAACAAATTTATTTTTTGAATAAAATCGCAGAAAATAACTCAGCAAAGATGTAGACATTATAAGTTCTCAATATGTGACGTAAGACAATAATTAATGAATAATTTGTTTATGTGATGTAAATACACACACAACACACACAATTATATTATTACCAGAAATTAAGCACATAATGATGACAGTCCATAATATTTGCTTTATAGCACGCATTGTGAGATGCTATATGACTCTTTACTTCTAAAAATTATAAAGTCAATGTTATAATTTTTTAAAATTTATTTTTCCTTATTTATATTTAAGGATATCACTATTACGATGTTTTTTTGATTGTTTGAAATTAGTAATGTCAGTATTTTAAATTTTTGCAAAATAATGAAAGAGGTTGAATTTCGTTTTATCGCAAGTAAGAAATTAGAATAGTACCGAATTAAGTGCAAAAGGAAAAATAAAGTACTTATAATATATGTATTAGTGGCCATATAAAATCGTGTGGCCACTTACAGATGTTATATATTCTAATTAGTAATTTTTATTTTATCTACCACATTAAATTTTGCGCATTGAAATTAATTATTCAATGACATGATAAATATGGAGTACTTTATATATTTATTTTATATATTCATATATTTGCTACACTTATTGCTTGTGTGCTTATGAATTACACATATGAACATATTTATATATTTATACTTTTATATATTTATATATTTGCAACACTTATGAGCCATAATTAATATTGTGCACACAATTTAACAGTACATCTATTCTCTAAGAAAAAGTAATTAGTTCTATCACTGATCTTATTAATAATAGTTTGTCAAATCTTATTGCGATACACAAAGTAACATAACATTAATATTACTTAATTTGAAGTAATATATGGTAATTGTCGCGTAAATGATTATTGATGTCGACACCGCGATAGAGAAGCACAAAATTCTAAAGTATTTCGACAGAATATTTTGTTATATTGGCAATAATTGCAATATAAATTTATCAAATAGCATTAAAATATATACAGCTATGGTAATTTCTCAACGTTCATTAATTCCAAAACTTTATATAACCGATTTAATATAAAATAATTAACATTACGATATCACTTTGTTAGTCTTACCAATTCGAAACTTTCGAGCGTCTGCGTTTTCTGAACGACACGGTAACATTGAGAAGCAATCGGCTTATTAAATACACACAAGTAGTCCTCGACTTTGATGTGTCTATGCGCATGAATCGTATTGGTTTCGTCCATGAATATGTTTATCTTTAGACGTTCGTGATTCTCATTGTGTGATTTTCATTGTATCTCATCATTAAGATATATGCTCTCTTTCCTGAAAAGAAGGAAATTTTGAAATAAATTTCGACGAATCTGCCCTGGTAGAAATTCACTCTGGGCCTTATTATGGCCCCGACTAGCTCGTCAGTCAGCAATTCGGGCGTGATACTGGCGAATTAGTCGGAGCCACACACGAAATCCTCATAAATGGTTGTGCCAGCGCCACAGATTCACCACAATACTGGGGCGACTGGGGCTGTGAATTGACACTATCTAGGCTGCCACTTAGACCGTGTTTGTTCTAAATGGACCCTTATTAAATTTATCGTGTCCCTAGGTAGGTTTATGAAAGATAAAGCCATGGTAATTTATGTATTTTATGTATTATAGTCTCTTTTTCGTCTTTGGTTCTAAAACTTTCTTCGTGGTATTCATTATACTCGGTCGAACTGTCTTTTTCACTATAGCATTCACCTTCACCAATATTATTTTGATTATTCCCCGCATTAGATGAAGATTGTGTATTAAAATTATTTTTTGCACTTAACCTATTCATAGCTTTTAATTTCCGTTTGAATTGAATAATTTTCCGATATTTTTGTGCGATTAATCTACCCGCTAACAATTTTATGCTTCTATCCATATTTGGAAGAGAAACTGCATAAATTTTTATAAAACGTGGCGGCAATAAATATAGTTATATAAAAGACTCTATAACAGTATCTCTTTCAGAAATAGTTTGAGAGGAAAGATTAGCTAACACTATGTGGACATATAAAACATAGCGCCAGACAAAACTCTGGACCATACCTAAACCCTTCTAATTTTCTTAGATAGGCTATGATTTGGCAAACAAGTAAGGCCCATACTTTTGTCTTGGCATTAAACTGGCAATTTCTACCAGGGTGTTTCTTCTAGTTATTTACAGATTTTTATTTAATTATGATTATAAAGTAATGATTATAAAGTATAACAAACAAAAGGATTTTTGTCTATTTATAATTAGATTTAGCATATAACGCTGCGTTTTCTATCGATATTTTTACTGTTTGTTAAACTGGCTTATTTAAAATAAAATATTACTTTAATTTAAAATAAGCTTGGTAAATATCTACTTTATATCATCAACTTTTTACATAATAAAATTTTTGCATTTATTAATAATAATAAATAAATTATTCTTATAAAAATTTTAGTTTTTGATTATTATAAGATTAGTCTAAAATTTTTTTAATTTATGTAGCCTTATTAATATATTTGTGCTTTGACATTTTATAAGATCTTTTAAGTTGTTCCATACTTTACTATAAAAATTGTGGATATACTGACATTTTGGAACATGGCCGTAAAACTAAAAGAATCATAAAGAAAACAAGTAAAAAATAGAAATAAATATATGCCTGTTTTAAAAATTGGAGTCAACAGTATTGTTTTTAACAAGGATTTATTTTAAATTAGTTACAAAATGATTATTGATTACAAAAATTAACTTATGTGTGAGAAAACTACTTAACATCTTTCATTTAATATTACAAAAATATTTTTTTTCTACAATTAGTATTATTAATTACTAGGTATTAAATTTTGAAAAGTATAGCAATACCAAAAATAATTTTTAATTTAATATTTTGTCATGTTTCATTAATTATGTTAGGCAGTCATTTTGTAAAATATATAATAATAATAAAGATTAATAAAATTTTGAAATTAATTTTAATTATTTAATTTTAATAATTAATTAATAGTTAAAACTTTAATACATTAATAAAAAAACATTAATTTGGCACTATATCTTTCGAAATCTACAAAAGTTTTGATCATATTGGAACTTATATTGTCATGCTAATCTTATATAGTAATCCAGTATATATACATATACATATATATAATTTAATAATACTAATACGAGAGAGAGAGATACTAATAGAGAGATCAAAAAATTTGATTTTGATGTCAATATTAACAATAGTGATCAATTGATCTTAGATTTATGCAGTTTTTCTAATCTGTATTACGTTGCAGATTTGTCAAAATATACTATTTTACACATAATTTGGAGCAAAATATATTGCAACAAATACACTGTTTAGATTGATTGAAGTTTTTAGTCAAATTGAATGTAGCTTTATTTTCGGAGTGCCATAAATAAATGAAATTATGCATTTTTAAATTTTATTAATAAAACGTCAGCAAATTAATCATTATTTTCTGCGTTTTCGTCATTTTCGACCTGTGAAAAATATATTAATCGTAATTTTTGAAAACAATATCTTGTTTAAAAATTTAGATGATGTATTAATGATATAATGAATTCTTTATGCGCAAATGTACTAAAATAATGTACTTATTTACTCTATGATCAAATTGTTCTATAAAATATACTAGAGAAGTCAATAATTGTTGGCATCTTTAATATCTTGGTTACAATGAATAGCCCCACATACTGCGCACGACTTTCAGTTAAAGCGCGCCGCAGTTAAAGGGTTAAGAAATGTAAGACTGACTGAAACTTATTCTATAACGTAATCGATTTTTAAGTATATGTGATTATTTCCGAGATTCGAAATTTAATATTGTTTTCTTAAAGTACATGCTACATGTTTATATTTATTATCTGATAACGACTTTTTAAACAAATATAATGATGTATTTTTATCTCGTTTGGTGCAAAAATTGCTAGCTCCTAGTAAACTTTGTTGGCACTTTTTATAAAGGAGCATCACATATCAAATTGTTGTTTTCCAAAATACTGCAAACTGACTTATCTATCAATACTAATTTTATCATGTTTTTTTCTCTTAAATTTCGTCTTTTTATGTATAACGTTGTGCAAATTTTTTATATACAATATAATAGATGTCTCTTTATTCATTGTTTTTAACAGTGACTGTTCTGTTAAATAAATCTCAATTTTATGAAAATTGTCACTACTCATTGCTAATTTTTAATATGAAATATTTTTATTCTAATTATTTTTTAGTATCTTAAAATAACTTGTATTATAAATTGTTATATTTGGTTTCAATACTATTAGAAGATACATATAAGGAATAGAATCCTATTGAAAAAAGGAAAACAAAAATGACTGAGGTTGCGCTAAAATTCGCGACAATTAATCGCATTTTGTAGTTTATTGCTTCACGCGAAATACCATGCTGCCACTTATTCATTATCAACCGTGTGCTATGCATTTTAATACATAGCACGCGCTTGATAGCAAATAAGCGGCTGGGTGATATTTCGCATGCAATGATAAACGGCAAAATACGATTAATTGTTGCGAATTTTAGCGTTATTTCTAACAAACTTTTAAATCAAACTGACTTTTGATCTCGGAAATGACTTTATTGACGAAAATAATAAATTGCATTATAAAACGGATTATCTTTTATTGTATAATAATTTGTAAAATATTAAAGATATACAAGTTATCGCACTACTCTATGGCCGGTATTCATAGTCCGTTCTTATATTCAAGATCGTCTTAAGCACGAACTTATATTCGCTCTCTTCGTCAGACACAATCTATGTGTGACGAAGAGAGCGAATATAAGTCCGTGCTTAAAACGATTTTGAATATAAGAACGGACTATAAATACCGCCCTATGTATTCCATCAGGCATATTTCATTGCATATTTTACTTACATTGCTCGGTCTGTCATGTTGAAGTCGATTGCCATGTGGCATGTCGAATTCGATTGAATCTGTGGCCACCCAAGAAATGGTCAAATTTTCCGGCTCACGATCCGTGAGTACAAGAAATAATCTACAAGCAAAATAATTCCTATTTTTATTTTAATAGAGTGTAAGAAATCTTTTATATGTATTTACATATATACATAATTTGTCAACTTCGAAAATATCGTAATGTGATAAAGTTTTTGAATAGGTGGCACAATAAAAGACTATCAGTTTTGTTAATGGGAAGAAAAACTAAAAGATATTTACAATTTACTTCAGAAACGTTAGTTTTGTGAACATTTTAATAAAGAGTTAATTTCTAGAAATATTACTGAACCTACTATATTTTATTTTTAATTATACAATTATTTGTTTTCATGGCAATAGTAATCATTAACTAATTCTCTAATTTAACAAAATTAATTAGTAGCAAATTTACACACAAAGAAGTTAACATTACTTTTTATCTTTTTCTTTTAATGAAGTTTTAAACAATTTATGAACTGCTTATATGATTGCTACGGAAGTAAACTATATACTTATATAATTATTTGTTTACAGATATTAAGAAAAATCAGCTTACTTGTAGCACCGAAATATAACAGCAATAATTATGAAAAACGGTATATACACTATTACACGGAATAAATCCCTAAATTTTTCTGATTTTCTGATTTTATTATTTGATGCAGTATTCTGAATATTATCGCTTGTTTCATTTTCTTTATTGTATAATGTATTTAGTATCATAATACCTGAAAAATAAATCTAATTAATAATCAGTTATATTTATAATTGATAGATTAAATTTGTTAATAATATAAATTTTCTTTGAATTAATACTGGAAGTGATAAAATTTTAATAAAAACAATTTTTTGCTTGATATAAAAAGGTCATATTATTATTTTAACGAAATGAGCTACAAAATTGTTAAAATGTATGTTTCTTTTATAAGTCCATTAACATTCAAAGTCTATATTAGTTAATAACTTGGAGAGAAAAGTAAGTAATTCATAAATTGATTTTTTGAATAAAAGCACAGAAAATAATTCGGCAAAGATGTAGATATTATATTTTACGTTCAAAATATATGACAGAAGAAAATAATTAATATATAATTTGTTTATGTGATGTAAACTCACACACAACACACATGTCATTACCAAAAAATAAAAACATAAAAATGATAATCCATAATATTTGCTTTATAACATGCATTGTGAGAACCTACAAGTTCCTTGTCTCCTAAAAAATAAAAAAATTAAATTTACAATTTTTCTTTATTTTTTTTATTTATACTTAAGGTTACTATTGCTACAATGCTTTCTTGATTGTGTGAAACCAATGATGTAAATATGTTAAATTTATGCAAAATAATGAGAGAGATTATTTTTTGTTTCGTCGCAAATAAAAAAGCAATATAGCATCGAATTATGTGCAAACAGAAAAATAAAATATTAATAACAATACAAATATTAATAACATATATATTAGTTGACAAAATCATGTGGTTACTAACAGACGTTAAATGTTTCAATTAGTAATTTGTATTTGTAACATTTCACATTAAATTTTACACATTAAATTTAATTATTTAATCAGAGGATAAATGTGAAATAGTTTTATATATATTTGATACACATATGATCCATAATTAATACTGTGCACAAAATAGAATAGTACAGTTACTCTCTAGTAGAGAATAAACTGGTTGCAGTATTAATCTTATTAATAATAAATGTTTGTTAAATCTTATTCTGATACACAAAGTGACAGGATTTTGCTTAACATCAAATAATTTGAAACGATATGTAATATTTGTTGTATAATTGATTCTTGATGTCGACGAGAGAATCGAAAGAAAAGCATAAGTACTTCTAAAGAGATTCGACAGAAATATATTGTCATGTTGGCAATGATTACAATATAAATTTATCAATTAACATTAAAATATTCAAACATTAAACGTTCCTCATAAATTAATATTATAGTAAAACCTTATTTGACCAATTTAATATAACAAATGTTAGCATTATAATATCACTATGTTAATCTTACCACAATTTCAAACTTTCTAACGTCTGCGTTTTTTGAACGGCACCGTGATAATGAGAAGTAATCGGTTTACGGTACACATTTAACTTTTGACTTTGATTTGTCCATTCACAACAATCTTATTGACTTTGGCCACAAATATGTTTACTTAAATACTTTATACTTAAATACGTTCATGATTCTCATTGTATCATATTATTGCCTCGCATATACACGGAGAAAATTTTATATAAAAAATTACTATGTACGGTGGTAGCCGCGGATCATGAAGGAATTATAAAATTTTTACTATGTTTTTCACATGTGAAACATAGTAAAAATTTTCGGTCCGCGGTTAATTCCGTACATAGTGATTTTTGATATAAAATTTTCTTTGTGTATCTTTCTTGAGAAGAATTTTGGAATAAGTTTTTACAAATTCAATCCATTTCAATTTCTTTCAGTTATCAGATTCAGTTTGCAAACTTTTTTGCAATCCATTATAAAAAATAGACTGTTATATAATTCAATCTATTTGTTAAATAGAGTCATTTCCGAGATTTAAAAATATGGTTGTTAGATACTGTGTGATTACTGTTTCTATAACATTCTTTCATGTTATAAAGATCAACTAATTATAATAATGATTTGCACGAGATAGAATGAAAGCCTAATTCGATGCTCTTTTTTTGGATGCCGATGCATTTTATGCATTGTACGCAGTTAAGGGCAAATAAAAGGCAGCGTGGTATTTCGCTTGGAGCTATAAATGACAAAACGCGATGTCCTAGATTTTAGCGCCATCCCAAACATGATTTTTAAATGTCGGAAATGACTTTATTGAACAATGAAATAAATTGTATTATATAATAGTTTATTTTTTATAATACAATAGATTGAAAAATATCAAGAATGTTAATAGTTATTGGATCACTCTATGTATTCTATCATGTATTTTTTTACTCCATATTTTACTTACATTGCCCGGTCGCAACATTGCACAGAGGGCAGGCAGCAATTCGCGCTGCTGGTTTTCGTCCTGCTGATTTTCTTGCAGCTGATTTTCTTGCTGCTGGTTTTCGTGCTGTTGGTTTTCGCGCAGTCTGTTTACAGTTATTAGATGAAGCAGGGCTGCCTCTGGAAGTCTCATTTCACGACAATATCTACATTTATAATTATTACAAATTATTGTCAATCTAATGAAGCTTAATTAATCATTTATATGCATTTACATATGTGTATAATCTGTTAAATCCAAGATACTGTGATGTGGCAATGGTTTAAATAATTAGCACAGGAAAGAACTATCTGTTAACTTTGCTATCTAGAGAAAATGTCAATAGACATTTGCAAATTAATATTAATTCGTGCATTTTAAAAAAGTTAATATAAGTTTGTGAATATAACGAGATAATTTCTACAAATTTTACTAATTGTAAGATTATTATGTTGTATTTTTATTTATAAAATTATTTGTTTTTATAACAATGATAAGTATTATTTAATTTTTTAATGTAATAAAATTAATTACCATCAAAATTACATAATAAGATGTTAATACTATTTTGCCAAAATTAACTTTTTTTCTTTTTTTGATGAAATTTCAAATTATTTGTGATTTTTTTATGTAATTGTCATGGAAGTAAATGATACTTCTAAAATCTATATATATAGAAAAAGCGAACTTACTTATAACAGTGAGTTATAAAAATTAGAATAATATATAAAAGTATTATAAAGAGTGGGACACAAGATATTATATGGATGATTTTTACTTCTGATAATTTTCTCGAAGTTTTGGTGCTTGTAGTATTTTGAACATTTTTATTGTATATTTCATTTTTTGTACTGTTTGACGTATTATGCATTACAGTGCCTGAAAAAATAAATTGAATTAAGTAATCAATTATATTTATAACTATTAAAGGAAGTTTGTTAATAACACAAATTTATTTTGAATTAATATTGAAAGTGGTACAATTTGATTATTAGGGAGAACCTTTTATGCTTGATAGAAAAAAATCACATTATTGTTTTAAAAAAATAAGCTGCTTAATTGTTAAAATGTATTTTTATTAAGTTTTTTCCAACTAAGTCTATTAATGTTTAAAGCTATTAGTAAATTATTCAAAAAGAAATATAAGTAATAAACAACGTTTTTAATTGAAACACAGAAAATAATTGAACAAAGATGTTATTTTTCACATTCATAATATGTGACATGAAACAAATAGTCAACGGATGATTTGCTTATATATATAATGTAAACACACATACAACACACACAATCATCTCATTACCAGAAATTAAAAGCATACAGATAATAGTCCATATTATTTGTCGTATAACATTCATTGTGAGATTTTCTATGGTTTTTTCCTTCTAAAAAATAAAAATTTAGGTTACAATTAAAAAAATTTTTTTTTCTTATACTTCAGGTTATCATTATTGCAATGCTTTCTTGATTGTTTGAAATCAATGATATAGATTAAATTTAATATGAAAAATAATAAAAGAGATTAATTTTTGTTGCATCGCAAGAAAGAAATCAATATAGCGACGAATTGCATGCAAAAGAAAAAATAAAGTATTATATATATTTTTTGAGAAAATTAAGTGGCCACTAACAGATGTTAAAAGTTTCAATTAGTAATCTGTATTAGTAATATTTTTCACGTTAAGCTTTACACGCTAAATTTAATTATTTAATAATAGGGTAAATGTGAAATAGTTTCATTTATATTTGTTACATATATGATGCATAATTAATATTGTGCACAAAATAAAAGTACATTTACCTAGCAAAGGATAATTGGCTCCAGTACTAATCTTATTAACAATATACGTTTGTCAAATTTTATTCTTATACACAAAGTGATATGATATTTCTTAACATCAGTTAATTTGAAATGATATGTGATAGTTGTCGTAAAAATGTGTTGATGTCGACGAGAGAGGACCGAAAGAAAAGAACAAGAATCTAAAGTGATTCGATAGTATATGTTGTCATGTTGGCAATAATTGTAATATAAATTTATCAATTAATATTAAAATATTGAAATATTAAAAACTCTTCACATAAATTATTAGCAAAACTTTACTTAACCAATTTAATATAATAGGTACTAGCATTTTGATATTACTTTTTGTTCATCTTACCAATTCCAAACCTTCGAACGTCTGTACTTTCTGAATGACACCGTAACAATGAGAAGCACGGCTGACGTATATACATTCAACTTTTGACTTTGATTAGTCTATTCACGTCAATCTTATTGGCTTTGGTTACAAATATGTTTATACGTTTCTGATTGTCATCGTGTCAATTGCTTAACTCGCATATGTCTTTCTTGAGAAAATTCTCGAAATAAGTTTTTACGAATCAGTTTCTTTTAATTATCAGATTCAATTTGCAAATTTTTTTAATAAAGATTATAAAATATAATATGTAAAAACGTTTTTGTTTATCTGTAATTAGATTTAGGATATAACTGTGTTTTTCTATCGATGTCTTTATACTGATAGTTTAATTGATCTACGTCAAAAAAGATTATTAAAACAAATTTAAAATTTTACATAGTAAAAATTTTTTATTAAATAATAATAATAATTAGTGGATTATTTAAAAAATTTTAATTCTTGGTTATCATTAGATTAGTAAAAAATTTTTGAGATTTATATTATTTTATTAATTTATTTGTGCTTTGATTATTTTATAGAATTTTATAAAAGTTTAATTAATAATGCTAGAAATTTTATATGATATTTGTTTAGGAAAGTATTATATTGTGTGAACAATGTGATTAAATCAATAAGAGAATTAAAACAGATTTATGAAATTGTGTAAGAAAAAACGAATTAGTCTTAAAAGAGATTAAAATCCTAATTGAACTACAAAATAATATCACGGGAGATTGTGAATTCTTCCCTTTTTTATTATGAACTTAAAATTATTGACAACTAAAATTGTTCGAGTTATTTGTACTTTTACTAATGCTAATACATACAATAAAACTTTTCTGTACAACGTTTTTTTATTGAATGTATCAAATACTATAGTTTTAGCTTTTACTTTATATTTATGAATTTAATTGTGGAAAGAGATTAAAATAAATTGCATCGATGTATTCACGAGGTTTTTTAAACAAAAAAGTCAATGCATTTGAACTTTAATAGAAACTTTTATTATACAATAAGCGTCACACTCATATAAAAGTTACTAAAATAAGCGACAATACAAATATAAGCAATAAAAATACGTAATACATGAATGGTCGCTGACATTAAAATTTAAATATTTTAATATATACTTATAATAATACAAACACGTATGTATAATAATACATACATGTATGTACTATTATATGTCATACATAGTTCTATTTTTTTATGCATTACATTTTTTTATATATTTATAATTTGTAATTTTTTTTACGTTTTATTTGAAATTTTTTGCACAATAGTTACTCAAATTTTTTAATCTCACTATCTTCCATGACAGCTGCACCAATTTTTTATAAAAAGTTGGTTTTAATAATAAATATTTTTTATTGAAGCAAATTCTAAATTCTAATTTAATAAATCTTTTTAATACAAAATAAAATTATATATTTATTTGTATCAGAAGTATTTGACTTTATTTACTTAATAAAAATAGTTATTACTTATTACTTTTTTTATTTGCTTAGATGTTATTTTCAATTTTAATAATGTATGTGTTAATTTCGTTTTAATTTAATTATAAGACTTTTTAAGTTTTTACAAATTTATATATTCTTATGTAAAGTTATGAATAGATTAATATTATGTAATATATGACAACAACTTTAGAAAAATATAGCTATAAAAATTTGAAAACCTTAAAAAGTTTTTAAATTAACACTTAAAATTAACACTTTGTTATATAACTGTTATATAATTGTTATATAATTTTTATATAATATTATATAATATTATATAAAGTTATATAACTGTTTCACATTAAAAAAGTTTAATTAAGTAAAAAGCTGCAACATTTGTATATTAAGTTTGCAAATTGGAGTTTATATAATGTTTTTGAAGAGAATAAATTTTGAAATTAGAAATTATTTAAAAATTAAATTAGATAGATCTGGGAGTTCTTTTCAATATTTTCTATTCCTTGCTGTAAGAAAATTTTTCTGTGACTATAGTATTATCAATTACTAGATACAACATTTTGCAAACTTAGCAATCAGAAAATAATGTTAAAATTAACATTTTGTCATGTTAAAATTGTTTCAAAGCTTTAAAAAGCGTTAAAAAACTTTAGTCATTTTTGTAATTTATATGATATCGTTCGGAATTAATAAAATAATTAAATTAATTACAATTATTTAAATTATAATTAAAATAAAAATTTAAACTTCTATATGTTAATAAAAAAATATTAATTTTAACATTATATTTCTCAGAATTTATAGAAGTTGTAGTAGCAGCTTAAATTGTCCACTGGACAAGTAATATCTAGTATTTAATAATGCTAACAATACAGAGATATAAAAATTGTATCCTGTTGCTATATTGATGACATTTAGTAATTGATGTTAGTTTCATACTGCTTTTCTTACCTGCATGACGCAAATTTGTCGAAATATATTGTTTTACACATAATTTGGAGCAAAATATATTACCACAAATGCACCGTCGATGTGTATGTTTCCCGTCAAATTGAATATATCTTTCCATTTATTTTAGGAGTGTCACAAATAAATTAAATTATTTATTCTAAAGTAGCAATAATAGAAAGTCACAGAATTATCCATGATGACATATTTACTCAGCTACGGCTGCGTTGTCATCATGATTTTCAACCTGTAAAAGTAAATGAATCATAATTTTTGAAAACAATATATTTTTGTTTACAAATTTAGATGATGTTTTGATGATATAATAAATTTTTTATGCGCACATGTGTGTACTAAAATAGTGTGCTTATTTATTCTATGATTAACTTGTTCTATAAAATATACGATAAGTCAATAATTATTAACATCTTCAATAAGGGCACTGTCTAGGACACTATAAAAGTTAAAAAAAAATTTGTTTAAGAAATGTAATATGGACGACTAAAACTTATCATTTAACGTTTAACACAATCGCTTTTTAAATCCGCGTAATTATTTCGGAGAGAACTTTATTTCATTTACATTTAAAACATTTAAAATAAAAGAGTACCGTATCAAGTTGTTTTGTTTTCCAAAACACTGCAAACAATTGACTTATTTATTAGTATTAATTTTGTTTGTTTTTTTCTCATAAACTAATTCAATTTTCTTATGTATAACTGCATGCAAACTTTTTATATGTAAGAGATGTATTTTTATAGATTATTTCTAATAAACAACAGAAGTGCCTTTCGAAATAAATCTGGATTTTACAAAAATTGCCGTTACTTTATGTCGGTTTTTAATATAAAATATATTTGTTTTAATTATTTTTGAGTAACTTTAAATGATTTTGTATGTAAATTTTTAAATTTGGTTTTTTCGCTGCTAGAAAACACATACAGTGTAGTTAAAAAAAAAGTCACATATTTTGAGAGCAGGTAATACCTATACCGTTTTCTGGAATACATAGTAATTTAATAACTATTAACGTTCTCGATATTTATGCATCTATTGTATTATAAAAAATAAACTATTATGTATTGCAATCCATTTGTTCAAGAGAGTCATTTCCGAGATTTAAAAGTACTGTTGTTAGATACTGTGTGAGTACTGTTTCTATAATGTTCTTTTATGTTATAGAGATCAACTAATTATAATAATGATTTGCACGAGATAGAATGAAAGCCTAATTCGATGCTCTTTTTTGGATACTGATGCATTTTATGCATTGTACGCAGTTAAGGGCAAATAAAAGGCAGCGTGGTATTTCGCTTGGAGCTATAAATGACAAAACGCGATGTCCTAGATTTTAGCGCCATCCCAAACATGATTTTTAAATGTCGGAAATGACTTTATTAAACAATGAAATGAATTGTATTATATAATAGTTTATTTTTTATTATACAATAGATTGAAAAATATCAAGAATGTTAATAGTTATTGGATTACTCTATGTATTCCATCACGTATATTTGACTCCATATTTCACTTACATTGCCCGGTGGTAATATTGCAAAGAGGTCAGGCAGGAATTCGTGCTGCTGGTTTTCGTTCTGCTGGTTTTCGTCTTGCTGGTTTTCGTCTTGCTGGTTTTCGTCCTGCTGATTTTCTTGCTGCTAGTTTTCGTGCTGTTGGTTTTCGCGCTGTCAGTTTATAGTTATTAGATCAAGCATGGCTGCTATTTGATTTCTCCTCTCAGTTCGACAAATTCTACATTTATAATTATTACAAATTATTGTTATTTCAATGGAGCTTAATTAATCATTTATATGCATTTACATATGTGTATAATTTGTTAAATCAAAGATACTGTGATGTGGCAATGGTTTATATAATTAGCACAGGAAAGAACTATCTGTTAACTTTGCTATCTAGAGAAAATGTCAGTAGACATTTGTAATTTAATATTTATTCGTTATTTTAAACAAGTTAATATAAGTTTGTGAATTTGACGAGATAATTTCTACAAATTTTACTAATTGTAAGATTATCATGTTGTATTTTTATTTATAAATTTATTTGTTTTTACAACAATGATAAGTATTATTTAATTTTTTAATGTAATAAAATTAATTACCATCAAAATTACATAATAAAATGTTAATATTATTCTGCCAAAATTAAATTTTTTTTTTTTGTTTATGAAATTTTAAATTATTTGTGATTTGTTTATGTAATTGTCATGGAAGTAAATGATACTTCTTAAATTATATGTATAGAAAAAGCAAACTTACTGATAACAAGTATAAATACCATATAAATTTATTAAAAGGAGTGGAACACAACATATTATAATGATGATTTTTACTTCTGATAATTTTCTCGAAGTTTCGGTGCTTGTAGTATTTTGAATAGTAGATATATTTTGAACATTTTCATTGTATGTTTCATTTTTTGTATTGTTTGACGTATTATGCATTACAGTACCTGAAAAAATAAATTAAATTATGTAATCAATTATATTTATAACTATCAGAGGAAATTTGTTTATAACATAAATTTATTCTGAATTAATATCGGAAGTGGTAGAATTTGATTATTAGGGAGAACCTTTTATGCTTTATAGAAAAAAATTTCATTATTGTTTTAAAAAAATAGGCTGCTTAACTGTTAAAATGTATTTTTATTAAGTTTTTTCCAACTAAGTCTATTAATGTTTAAAGCTATTAGTAAATTATTCAAAAAGAGATATAAGTAATTAACAACGTTCTTAATTGAAACACAGAAAATTATTGAACAAAGATGTTATTTTTCACATTCATAATATGTGACATGAAACAAATAGTCAACGGATGATTTGCATATATATATAATGTAAACACACATACACAACACACACAATCATCTCATTACCAGAAATTAGAAGCATACAGATGATGGTTCGTAATATTTGTCGTGTAACATTCATTGTGAGATTTTCTATGGTTTTTCTATGGTTTTTTTATGGATTTTCTATGGTTTTTTTTTCTAAAAAATAGAAATTTAGGTTACAATTAAAAAAAATTTTTTTTTCTTATACTTCAGGTTATCATTATTGCAATGCTTTCTTGATTGTTTGAAATCAATGATGTAGATTAAATTTAATATGCAAAATAATAGAAGAGATTAATTTTTGTTGCATCGCAAGAAAGAAATCAATATAGCGACGAATATCATGCAAAGGAAAAATAAAGTATTATATATATTTCTTGAGAAAATTATGTGGCCACTAACAGATGTTAAATGTTTCAATTAGTAATCTGTATTAGTAATGTTTTTCACGTTAACTTTTACACGTTAAATTTAATTATTTAATAATAGGGTAAATGTGAAATAGTTTCATTTATATTCGTTACATATATGATCCATAATTAATATTGTGCACAAAATAAAAGTACATTTACCTAGCAAAGGATAACTGGCTCCAGTACTAATTTTATTAACAATATACGTTTGTCAAATTTCATTCTTATACACAAAGTGATATGATATTTTTTAACATCAGTTAATTTGAAATGATATGTGATAATTGTCGCAAAAATGTGTTGATGTCGACGAGAGAGAACCAAAAGAAAAGAACAAGATTCTAAAGTGATTCGATAGTATATGCTGTCATGTTGGCAATGATTGTAATATAAATTTATCATATAATATTAAAATATTGATATATTATAAACTATTCACATAAATTATTAGCAAAACTTTACTTAACTAATTTAATATAATAGGTACTAGCATTTTGATATTACTTTTTGTTCATCTTACCAATTCCAAACCTTCGAACGTCTGTACTTTCTGAATGACACCGTGACAATGAGAAGCATTCGGCTGACGTATATACATTCAACTTTTGACTTTGATTAGTCTATTCACGTCAATCTTTGGCTTTGGTTACAAATATGTTTATACGTTCCTGATTGTCATCGTGTCAATTGCTTAACTAACATTGCTTAACTCGCATATGTCTTTCTTGAGAAAATTCTCGAAATAAGTTTTTACGAATCAGTTTCTTTCAATTATCAGATTCAATTTGCAAATTTTTTAAATAAAGATCATAAAATATAATATGTAAAAATGTTTTTGTTTATCCGTAATTAGATTTAGGATTTAACTGTGTTTGCTATCGATGTCTTTATACTGAGTTGAACTGATCTACGCAAAAAAAGACTATTAAACCAAATTTTAAATTTTACATAGTAAAAATTTTTTATTTAATAATAATAATAATTAGTGGATTATTTTAAAAATTTTAGTTTTTTGTTATCATTGGATTAGTAAAAAAATTTTTGAGATTTATATTACTTTATTAATTTATTTGTGCTTTGACTATTTTATAGAATTTTATAAAAGTTTAATTAATAATGCTAGAAATTTTATATGATTTTTGTTTAGGAAAGTATTATATTGTGTGAACAATGTGATTAAATCAATAACAGAATATAAAACAGATTTATGAAATTGTGTAAGAAAAAACGAATTAGTCTTAAAAGAGATTAAAATTCTAATTGAACTACAAAATAATATCACGGGAGATTGTGAATTCTTCCCTTTTTTATTATGAACTTAAAATTATTGACGACTAAAATTGTTCGAGTTATTTGTACTAATGCTAATACATACAATAAAACTTTTCTGTACAATGTTTTTTTATTGAATGTATCAAATACTATAGTTTTAGCTTTTACTTTATATTTATGAATTTAATTGTGGAAAGAGATTAAAATAAATTGCATCGATGTATTCACGAGGTTTTTAAACAAAAAAGTCAATGCATTTGAACTTTAATAGAAACTTTTATTATACAATAAGCGTCACACTCATATAAAAGTTACTAAAATAAGCGACAATACAAATATAAGCAATAAAAAATACGTAATACATGAATGGTCGCTGACATTAAAATTTAAATATTTTAATATATACTTATAATAATACAAACACGTATGTATAATAATACATACATGTATGTACTATTATATGTCATACATAGTTCTATTTTTTTATGCATTACATTTTTTTATATATTTATAATTTGTAATTTTTTTTACGTTTTATTTGAAATTTTTTGCACAATAATTACTCCAATTTTTTAATCTCACTATCATCCATGACAGCTGCACCAATTTTTTATAAAAAGTTGGTTTTAATAATAAATATTTTGTATTAAAGCAAATTTTAAATTCTAATTTAATAAATCTTCTTAATACAAAATAAAATTATATATTTATTTGTATCAGAAATATTTGACTTTATTTACTTAATAAAAATAGTTATTATTAATTGCTTTTTTTATTTGCTTAGATGTTATTTTCAATTTTAATAATGTATGTGTTAATCTTGTTTTAATTTAATTATAAGACTTTTTAAATTTTTCAAATTTTTATATATTTTTATGTAAAAGTTATGAATAGATTAAATATTATGAATATATACACAACTTTAGAAAAAATATAGCTATAAAAATTTGAAAATCTTAAAAAGTTTTTAAATTAACATTTAAAATTAATACTTTGTTATATAATTGTTGTATAATTGTTATATAATTATTATATTATATTATATAATATTATATAAAGTTATATAACTGTTTCACATTAAAAAAGTTTAATTAAGTAAAAAGCTGTAACATTTGTATATTAAGTTTGCAAATTGGAGTTTATATAATGTTTTTAAAGGGAATTAATTTTTAAATTAGAAATTATTTAAAAATTGAATTAGATAGATCTGGGAGTTCTTTTCAATATTTTCTATTCCTTGCTGTGAGAAAATTTTTCTATGACTATACTATTATTAATTACTAGATACAATATTTTGCAAACTTAGCAATCAGAAGTTAATGTTAAAATTGACATTTTGTCATGTTAAAATTGTTTCACGTTAAAAAGCTTTAGTCATTCCTGTAATTTATATGATATCGTTCGGAATTAATAAAATAATTAAATTAATTACAATTATTTAAATTATAATAAAAATAAAAATTTAAACTTTTATATGTTAATAAAAAAATATTAATTTTAACATTATATTTCTCAGAATTTATAGAAGTTGTAGTAGCAGTTTAAATTGTCCACTGGACAAGTAATATCTAGTATTTAATAATGCTAACAATACAGAGATATAAAAATTGTATCTTGTTGTTATATTGACGACATTTAGTAATTGATGTTAGTTTCATACTGCTTTTCTTAATTGCATGACGCAAATTTGTCGAAATATATTGTTTTACACATAATTTGGGGCAAAATATATTACCATAAATACACCGTCGATGTATGTTTCCAGTCAAATTGAATATATTTTTCCATTAATTTTAGGAGTGTCACAACTAAATTAAATTATTTATTCTAAAGTAGCAATAATAGAAAGTCACAGAATTATCCATGATGACATATTTACCCAGCTACGGCTGCGTTGTCATCATGATTTTCAACCTGTAAAAGTAAATGAATCATAATTTTTGAAAACAATATATTTTTGTTTACAAATTTAGATGATGTATTGATGATATGATAAATTTTTTATGCGCACGTGTGTACTAAAATAGTGTGCTTATTTATTTTATGATTAACTTGTTCTATAAAATATACGATAAGTCAATAATTATTAACATCTTTAATAAGGGCACTGTCTAGGACACTATGAAAGTTAAAAAATAATTTGTTTAAAAAATGTAATATGGACGACTAAAACTTATCATTTAACGTTTAACGCAATCAATTTTTAAGTCCGCGTAATTATTTCGGAGAGAACTTTATTTCATTTACATTTAAAATATTTAAAATAAAAGAGTAGCGTATCAAGTTGTTTTGTTTTCCAAAACACTGCAAACAATTGACTTATTTATTAGTATTAATTTTGGTTGTTTTTTTCTCATAAACTAATTCAATTTTCTTATGTATAACTGCATGCAAACTTTTTATATGTAAGAGATGTATTTTTATAGATTATTTCTAATAGACAACAGAAGTGCCTTTCGAAATAAATCTGGATTTTACAAAAATTGCCGTTAGTTTATGTCGGTTTTTAATATAAAATATATTTGTTTGAATTATTTTTGAGTAACTTTAAATGATTTTGTATGAAATTTTTAAATTTGGTTTTCTCGCTGCTAGAAAACACATACAGTGTGTTAAAAAAAAAGTCACATATTTTGAGAGCAGGTAATACCTATACCGTTTTCTGGAATACATAGTAATTTAATAACTATTAACGTTCTCGATATTTATGCATCTATTGTATTATAAAAAATAAACTATTATGTATTGCAATCCATTTGTTCAAGAGAGTCATTTCCGAGATTTAAAAGTACTGTTGTTAGATACTGTGTGAGTACTGTTTCTATAATGTTCTTTTATGTTATAGAGATCAACTAATTATAATAATGATTTGCACGAGATAGAATGAAAGCCTAATTCGATGCTCTTTTTTGGATACTGATGCATTTTATGCATTGTACGCAGTTAAGGGCAAATAAAAGGCAGCGTGGTATTTCGCTTGGAGCTATAAATGACAAAACGCGATGTCCTAGATTTTAGCGCCATCCCAAACATGATTTTTAAATGTCGGAAATAACTTTATTAAACAATGAAATAAATTGTATTTAATAATAGTTCATTTTTTATAATACAATAGATTGAAAAATATCAAGAATGTTAATAGTTATTGGATTACTCTATGTATTCCATCACGTATATTTGACTCCATATTTTACTTACATTGCCCAGTGGTAACATTGCAAAGAGGTCAGGCAGGAATTCGTCCTGCTGGTTTTCGTCTTGCTGGTTTTGGTCTTGCTGGTTTTCGTCTTGCTGGTTTTCGTCCTGCTGATTTTCTTGCTGCTGGTTTTCGTGCTGTTGGTCTTCGCATTCTCTGTTTATAGTTATTAGATCAAACATGACTGCCATTTGATTTCTCCTCTCAGTTCGACAAACTTTACATTTATAATTATTACAAATTATTGTCATTTCAATGAAGCTTAATTAATCATTTATATGCATTTACATATGTGTATAATCTGTTAAATCAAAGATATTGTGATGTGGCAATGGTTTAAATAATTAGCACAGGAAGAAACTATCTGTTAACTTTGCTATCTAGAGAAAATGTCAATAGATATTTGTAATTTAATACTAATTTGTTTATTTTAAACAAGTTAATATAAGTTTGCGAATTTGACGAGATAATTTTTACAAATTTTACTAATTATAAGATTAACATGTTTTATTTTTATTTTTAAATTTATTTATTCTTATAACAATGATAAGTATTATTTAATTTTTTAATGCAATAAAATTATATACCATCAAAATTACATAATAAGATGTTAATATTATTTTGCCAAAATTTAACCTTTTTTTTTTATTGATGAAATTTCAAATTATTTGTGATTTGTTTATGTAATTGTCATGGAAGTAAATAATACTTCTAAAATTATATGTATAGAAAAAGCAAACTTACTTAATACAAATAGAAATAGCATATAAAGGTATTAAAACGAGTGGACCACATATTATAAGGACGATTTCTACGTTTGAGAATTTTTTTCGAAGTTTCGGTGCTTGTAGTATTTTGAATAGTAGATATATTTTGAACATTTTCATTGTATGTTTCATTTTTTGTATTGTTTGACGTATTATGCATTACAGTACCTGAAAAAATAAATTAAATTATGTAATTAATTATATTTATAACTATCAGAGGAAATTTGTTTATAACATAAATTTATTCTGAATTAATATTGGAAGTGGTAGAATTTGATTATTAGAGAGAACTTTTTATGCTTGATATAAAAAAATCACATTATTGTTTTAACTAAATAAGCTGCTAAATTGTTGAAATGAATTTTTTTTAAGTTTTTTCCAACTAAGTCTATTAATGTTTAAAACTATTAGTGAATTATTCAAAAAGAGATTTAAGTAATTAACAACGTTTTTAATGGAAATTTCAGAAAATAATTGAACAAAGATGTTATTTTTCACATTCATAATATGTGACATGAAACAAATAGTCAACGGATGATTTGCTTATATATATAATATAAACACACATACAACACACACAATCATCTCATTACCAGAAATTAAAAGCATACAGATGATAGTCCATACTAATTGTTGTATAACATTCATTGTGAGATTTTCTATGGTTTTTTCTTTCTAAAAAATAAAAATTCAGGTTACAATTAAAAAAAAATTTTTTTTTTTTATACTTCAGGTTATTATTATTGCAATGCTTTCTTGATTGTTTGAAATCAATGATGTAGATTAAATTTAATATGCAAAATAATAGAAGAGATTAATTTTTGTTGCATCGCAAGAAAGAAATCAATATAGCGACGAATATCATGCAAAAGGAAAAATAAAGTATTATATATATTTCTTGAGAAAATCATGTGGCCACTAACAGATGTTAAATGTTTCAATTAATAATCTGTATTAATAATATTTTTCACGTTAACGTTTACACGCTAAATTTAATTATTTAATAATAGGGTAAATGTGAAATAGTTTCATTTATATTCGTTACATATATAATCCATAATTAATATTGTGCATAAAATAAAAGTACATTTACTTAGCAAAGGATAACTGGCTCCAGTATTAATCTTATTAATAATATACGTTTGTCAAATTTTATTCTTATACACAAAGTTATATAATATTTCTTAACATCAGTTAATTTGAAATGATATGTGATAGTTGTCGTAAAAATGTGCTGATGTCGACGAGATTGGACCGAAAGAAAGGAACAAGATTCTAAAGTGATTCGATAGTATATGTTGTTATGTTGGCAATGATTGTAATATAAATTTATCAATTAACATTGAAATATTAAAATATTAAAAACTCTTTACATAAATTAATAGCAAAATCTTACTTAATCAATTTAATATAATAGGTATTAGCATTTTGATACTTTTATTTTTGATTATTTTTCGTTCATCTTACCAATTCCAAACTTTCGAACGTCTGTACTTTCTGAATGACACCGTGACAATGAGAAGCAATCGACTTACGTACATACATTTAACTTTTGACTTTGATTTGTCTATTCATGTTATTGGGTTTGGTCACAAATATTTATACTTAAACGTTCCTGATTCTCATCGTATCATATGCTTAACTCGCATATGTTTTTCTTGAGAAAAATTTCGAAATAAGTTTTTACAAATCAGTTTCTTTCAGCTATCAGATTCAGTTTGCAAATTTTTTTTAATAAAGGTTATAAAATGTAATATGTAAAACGTTTTTGTTTATCTGTAATTAGATTTAGGATATAACTGTGTTTGTTATCGATGTCTTTATACTGAGTTGAACTGATCTACGCAAAAAAAGACTATTAAAACAAATTTAAAATTTTACATAGTAAAAATTTTTTATTTAATAATAATAATAATTGGTGGATTATTTTAAAAAATTTAGTTTTTTGTTATCATTGGATTAGTAAAAAATTTTTGAGATTTATATTACTTTATTAATTTATTTGTGCTTTGACTATTTTATAGAATTTTATAAAAGTTTAATTAATAATGTTAGAAGTTTTATATGATTTTTGTTTAGGAAAGTATTATATTGTGTGAACAATGCGATAAAATCAATAAGAGAATATAAAACAGATATATGAAATTGTATAAGAAAAAACGAATTAGTCTTAAAAGAGATTAAAATCCTAATTGAACTATAAAATAATATCACGGCAGATTGTGAATTCTTCCCTTTTTTATTATGAACTTAAAATTATTGACAACTAAAATTGTCCAAGTCATTTGTACTTTTACTAATGCTAATACATAGAATAAAACTTTTTTGTACAATGTTTTTTTATTGAATGTATCAAATACTATAGTTTTAGCTTTTATTTTATATTTATGAATTTAATTGTGAAAAGAGATTGAAATAAAGTGCATCGATGTGTTCACGAGGTTTTTAAACAAAAAAGTCAATGCATTTAAATTTTAATAGAAAGTTTTATTATACAGTAAGCGTCACACTCATATAAAAGTTACTGAAATAAGCGACAATACAAATATAAGCACTAAAAAATACAAATACATGAGTAGCTGCTGACATTAAAATTTAAATATCTTAATATATACTTATATTAATACATACATGTATGTATAATAATAAATACATGTATGTATTATTATATGTCATACATAGTTCTATTTCTTTATGTATTACACTTTTTTATATATTTATAAATTTTTATTTTTTCAAAGTCTTATTTGAAATTTTTTGCACAATAATTACTCCAATTTTTTAATTGCATTATTTTTTATAATAGCTGCACTAAATTTTTATAAAAATTAGGTTTTAATAATAAATAATTTTTATTGAAGCAAATTCTAAATTCTAATTAAATAAATCTGTTTAGTACAAGATAAAATTATAGATTTATTTGTATCAGAAGTATTTGAGTTTATTTACTTAATAAAAATATTTATTATTAGTTGCTTTTTTTTATTTACTTAGATGTCATTTACAATTTTAATAGTTATATGTATGCGTTAATCTCGTTTTAATTTAATTATAAGATTTTTCAAATTGTTTCAAATTTTTGCGTAGTAATTGTGCATATATTCACATTTTTATAAAATATAGTTATAAAAATTAAAATACTATATATTGTCAAATAAAAATGTGGTAACATTTATGTTTTTATTTTGTATATTGGAATGAACGTTGTTTTTAATGAGAATAAATTTTGAAATTAGTTACAAATTATTTAAAAATTAGATTATTAGGAAGTTACTCGACATTTTCTATTCAATACTAAAGAAATTTTTTTTTACATTTAGAGTATTATTAATTACTAGGTACAATATTTGGCAAACTTTAGCAATGAGAAAATAATGTTAAAATTAACATTTTGCCCTCTTAAAACTGTTTCAAATTAAAAAAAGTTTTATAAGTTAGTCATTCTGCAATATGTATGATAATAATCGGAATTTTAATAAATAAAATAAGTTAATAAATTTTAATTATTAAAATTTCAATATATTAATAAAAAATGTAAATTTTAACTTTACATTTCTCCGAATCTACGAAAGCTGTAGCCATATTAGCAACTAAAGTTGTCACACAGAACAAGTTATCTAATATTTAATAATAATAATAATAGAGAGAGGTATAAAAACTTTTATCCTGATGTCATACTGACGACATTCAGTAATCATTGTTAGATTCGTGCTGTTTTTCATGTGCATCACGATGCAAATTTGTCAAAATATATTGTTTTACACATAATTCGGGATAAAATATATTACAACAAATGCACTGTCGATGTAAGTTTCCAGTCAAATTGAATATAACTTTCCATTCATTTTAGGAGTGTCACATATAAATAAAATTATTTTATTCTAAAGTAGCAATAATAGAAAGTCACAGAATTATCCATGATGACATATTTACCCATCTATGGCTGCGTTGTTAAAGATGTCATCATAATTTTCAATCTGTAAGAGTAAATAAATCATAATTTTTGAAAACAATATATTATTGTTTACAAATTTAGATGATGTCTTGATGATATAATAAATTCTTTATGCGCACATGTATGTACTAAAATAGTGTGCTTATTTATTTTATGATTAACTTGTTCTGTAAAATATACGATAAGTCAATAATTATTAACATCTTCAATAAGGGCACTATCTAGGACACTATAAAAGTTAGAAAATAATTTTTTTAAGAAATGTAATGTGGACGACAAAAACTTATCACTTAACGTTTAACGTAATCGATTTTTAAGTCCGTGTAATTATTTCGGAGAGAACATTGTTGGCGTTTAAAATAGAAAAGTACCGTATCAAGTTGTTTTGTTTTTCAAACATTGCAAACAATTGACTTATTTATTAATATTAATTTTAGTTGTTTTTCTTTCATAAACTAATTCAATTTTTTTATGTATAACTGCATGCAAACTTTTTATATGTAAGAGATGTATTTTTATAGATTATTTCTAATAGACAACATAAGTGCCTTTTGAAATAAATCTGGATTTTACAAAAATTGCCACTACTTTATGTTGATTTTTAATATAAAATATATTTGTTTCAATTATTTTTGAGTAACTTTAAATGATTTTGTATGAAATTTTTATATTTGGTCTTATCGCTGCTAGAAAGCACATACAGATTATTGAACAATGAAATTAATTGTATTATATAATAGTTTATTTTTTATAATACAATAGATTGAAAAATATCAAGAATGTTAATAGTTATTGGATTACTCTATGTATTCCATTACGTATATTTGACTCCATATTTTACTTACATTGCCTGGTGGTAACATTGCAAAGTGGTCAGGCAGGAATTCGTGCTGCTGGTTTTCGTTCTGCTGGTTTTCGTCCTGCTGATTTTCGTCCTGCTGGTTTTCGTCCTGCTGGTTTTCGTCCTGCTGATTTTCTTGCTGCTGGTATTCGTTTGCTTGCTGCCTGTTTTTAGTTATCAGATGAAGCATGGCTGCCTCTCGAAATCTCATACCACGACAATATCTACATTTATAATTATTACAAATTATTATCATTCTAATGAAGCTTAATAAATTATTTATATGCATTTACATATGTGTATAATCTGTTAAATCGAAGATGTGATGTGGTAATGGTTTAAAAAATTAGCACAAGAAAGGACTATCTGTTAACTTTGCTATCTAGAGAAAATGTCAATAGACATTTGCAATTTAATATTAATTCGTGCATTTTAAACAAGTTAATATAAGTTTGTGAATATAATGAGATAATTTCTACAAATTTTACTAATTGTAAGATTATCATGTTGTATTTTTATTTATAAAATTATTTGTTTTTATAACAATGACAAGTATTATTTAATTTTTTAATGTAATAAAATTAATTACCATCAACATTACACAATAAGATGTTAATATTATTTTGCCAAAATTTAATTTTTTTTCTTTTTTTGATGAAATTTCAAATTTTTTGTGACTTGTTTATATAACTGTTATGGAAGTAAATGATACTTCTAAAATTATATATATAGAAAAAGCGAACTTACCTATAACAAGTATGAATAGCATATAAAAGTATTAAAAAGAGTGGAACACTAAGTATTTGAAGGGAGATTCCTCTTTCTGATAATTTTTTTGAGGTTTTGGTGCTTGTAGTAGTTCGAATAATAGATGTATTTTGAACTTTTTTTTTGTATGTTTTATTTTTTTTCTTGTTTGACATTTTATGCATTACAGTACCTGAAAAATTAAATTGAATTAAGTAATCAATTATATTTATAACTATCAGAGGAAGTTTGTTAATAACACAAATTTATTCTGAATTAATATTGGAAGTGGTACAATTTGATTGTTAGAGAGAATTTTTTATGCTTGATAGAAAAAATCACATTATTGTTTTAACAAAATAAGCTGCTAAATTATTAAAATGTATTTTTATTAAGTTTTTTTTAACTATGTCTATTATTGTTTAAAGTTATTAGTGAATTATTCAAAAAGAGATATAAGTAATTAACAACGTTTTTAATTGAAACACAGAAAATAATTGAACAAAGATGTTATTTTTCACATTCATAATATGTGACATGAAACAAATAGTCAACGGATGATTTGCTTATATATATAATGTAAACACACATACAACACACACAATCATCTCATTACCAGAAATTAAAAGCATACAGATGATGGTTCGTAATATTTGCCTTATAACATTCATTGTGAGATTTTCTATGGTTTTTTCCTTCTAAAAAATAAAAATTTAGGTTACAATTTTCTTTATTTTTTAAATTTATATTTAAGGTTATCATTATTGCAATGTTTTCTTGGTTGTTTGAAATCAATGATGTAGGTATGTTAAATTTATGCAAAATAATGGAAGAGATTAATTTTTGTTGCATCGCAAGAAAGAAATCAATATAGCGTCGAATTGCATGCAAAAGGAAAAATATAGCATTATATATATATTTCTTGAAAAAATTATGTGGACACTAACAGATGTTGAATATTTCAATTAGTAATCTGTATTAGTAATATTTTTCACGTTAAGTTTTACACGCTAAATTTAATTATTTAATAATAGGATAACTGTGAAATAGTTTCATATTCGTTACATATGTATATGATCCATGATTAATATCGTGCACAAAATAAAAGTACATTTACCTAGCAAAGGATAACTGGCTCCAGTACTAATCTTAATAATATACGTTTGTCAAATTTTATTCTTATACACAAAGTGACATGATATTTTTTAACATTACTTCATTTGAAATGATATGTGATGGTTGTCGTAAAAATGTGTTGAGGTTGACAGGAGAGGACCGAAAGAAAAGAATCAGATTCTAAAGTGATTCGATAGTATATATTGTCATGTATATGTTGGTAATGATTGTAATATAAATTTATCAATTAACATTAAAATATTGAAATATTAAAAACTTTTCACATAAATTAATAGCAAAACCTTACTTTATCAATTTAATATAATAGGTATTAGCATTTTGATATTACTTTTTATTCATCTTACCAATTCCAAACTTTCGAACGTCTGTACTTTCTGAATGACACCGTGACAATGAGAAGCAATCGACTTACGTACATACATTTAACTTTTGACTTTGATTTGTCTATTCACGTCAATTTTATTGGCTTTGGTTACAAATATGTTTATACTTAAACGTTCTTGATTGTCATCGTGTCATATGCTTAATTCGCATATGTCTTTCTTGAGAAAATTTTTGACATAAGTTTTTACGAATCAGTTTCTTTCAGTTATGAGGTTCAATTTGCAAATTTTTTAAATAAAGGGTATAAAATATAATATGTAAAAATGTTTTTGTTTATCCGTAATTAGATTTAGGATATAACTGTGTTTGCTATCGATGTCTTCATACTGATAGTTGAATTGATCTACGCAAAAAAAAGATTATTAAAACAAATTTAAAATGTTACATAGTAAAAATTTTTTTATCCAATAATAATAATTAGTGGATTATTTTAAAAATTTTAGTTTTTGGTTATCATTGGATTAGTAAAAAATTTTTGAAACTTATATTACTTTATTAATTTATTTGTGCTTTGACTATTTTATAAAATTTTATAAAAGTTTAATTTGTAATGATGGAAGTTTTATATGATTTTTGTTTAGGAAAGTATTATATTGTATGAACAATGTGATATAACCAATAAGAGAATTAAAACAGATTTATGAAATTGTGTAAGAAAAAACGAATTAGTCTTAAAAGAGATTAATATTCTAATTGAACTACAAAATAATATCACGGGATATTGTGAATTTTTCCTTTTTTTATTATGAACTTAAAATTATTGGCAACTAAAATTGTCAGAGTCATTTGTACGTTTACTAATGCTAATACATACAATAAAACTTTTCTGTAGACTGTTCTTTTATTGAATGTATCAAATACCATAGTTATAGTTTTTACTTCATATTTATGAATTTAATTGTGAAAAGAGATCGAAATAAATTGCATCGATGTGTTCATGAGGTTTTTAACCAAAAATGTCAATGTATATAACTTTAATAGAAACTTTTATTATACAGTAAGCCTCACACTCATATAAAAGTTACTAAAATAACAAGCGACAATACAAATATAAGCAATAAAAAATACGTAATACATGAATGGCTGCTGACATTAAAATCTAAATGGTTAAATATATACTTATAATAATACATATATGTATGTATTATTATATGTCATACATAGTTCTATTTTTTTATGCATTACACTTTTTTATATATTTATAAATTTTTATTTTTTTAAAGTCTTATTTGAAATTTTTTGCACAATAATTACTCCAATTTTTTAATCTCACTATTTTTTATAATAGCTGCAAATTTTTATAAAAAATAGGTTTTAATAATAAATATTTTTTATTGAAGCAAATTTCAAATTCTAATTTAATGAATCTATTTAATACAAAATAAAATTATAGATTTATTTGTATCAGAATATTTGAGTTTATTTACTTAATAAAAATATTTATTACTAATTGCTTTTTATTATTTACATAGATGTTACTTACAATTTTAATAGTTATATATATGCATTAATTTTGTTTTAATCTAATTATAAGACTTTTTGAATTGTTTCAAATTTTTGTGTAGAAATTATGAATATATTCACATTTTTATAAAATATAGTTATAAAAATTAAAATACCATATATTGTCAAATAAAAATGTAGTAACATTTATGTATTTATTTTGTAAATTAGAGTTATCATTGTTTTTAATGAGAATAAGTTTTGAAATTAGTTACAAATTATTTAAAATTTAGATTATCAGGAAGTTACTCGACATTTTCTATTCATTACTAAAGGAATTTTTTCTACAATTAGAGTATTATTAATTACTAGGTACAATATTTCGCAAATTTTAGCAATGAGAAAATAATGATAAAATTAACATTTTGTCATGTTAAAACTGTTTCAATTTAAAAAATGTTTAATATGTTAGTTATTCTGCAATACGTGTGATAATAATCAGAATTTAAATAAATAAAGTAAATTAATAAATTTTGATCATTAAAATTACAATTAAAATAAAATTAAAATATAAATTAAAATTTCGATATATTAAAAAATGTAAATTTTAACTTTATATTTCTCCGAATTTACGAAAGTTGTAGGCATATTAGCAGCTAAAATTATTACACAGAACAAATAATCTAATATTTAATAATAATAATAATAGAAAGAGATATAAAAATTTTTATCCTGATGTCATACTGACGACATTCAGTAATCAATGTTAGATTCATGCTGTTTCTCATGTGCATCATGATGGAAACTTGTCAAAATATATTGTTTTACACATAATTTGGTGCAAATTATATTACAACAAATGCACTGTCTAGATTGATATAAATTCTCAGTCAAATTGAATATAGCTTTCCATGTATTTTAAGAATGTCACAAATAAATAAAATTATTATGCACTTTAAAATGACAGTAATAAAAAGTTATCATATTATTTATCATCTTCTTCGATTACCTCATTCTTAACCTGTGAAAAGTAAATCAATCGTAATTTTTGAAATATCTTTTTACAATATTTTTTTGTTTAGAAATTTAGATGACGCTTTGATGTTATAATCAAGTTTTTATGTGCATATGTATGTATTATAATAATGTGCTTATTTTCTTTTTGATCAACTTGTTCTACAAAATAGACGATAAGTCAATAATTATTAGCATTTTCATTATTTTGGACACTATGAAAGTTCGAAAATAATTTCTTTAAAAATGTAGTAATTTTATGCAAACTTTTTATATGTATAATAGACGTATTTTTACAGATTGGTTTTAATAGACAACATAAGTGTCTTTACAAATAAGTCTGGATTTTATGAGAATTGTCATTGTTTCATGTTGGTTTTCATTATAAGATATGTATGTTTTAATTATTTTTGATAATCTTAAACGATTTTGTATTATAAATTTTTAAATTTGGTTTTTACGCCGTTAGAAAATACATATTAACAATAGCACTTTATTAAAAAAAAAAAGAGGAGTAAAACTGACAGTTTTTGCTCAAATCTGCTACAATTAATCGTACTTTGTCGTTTATTGCTCTACGCTCTACGCGAAATACCATGTTGGTGCTTACTCGCCGCGTGCTACGCATTAAAATACATCGAGGTCTGAAGAAAGGCTTTGAATTAGCTCTTCATTTAAGTCATAAATAATTTTAGTGGTCTTTTTAACATGGGAGTATATTCCAGAAACAGATAATCATAAATTTCGTACACGTCGTTACCGCGCCGCGATCAAGATTATTTTGTACGGGAGCAGTTGGTTTTTTATTATATTTCGCCGTTTTGATAAACAGCTGATATTTTTATGTTTGCGACAATTGTAAGCCGTTTTCTAGATACTGTTGTTAGATACTGACTATTGTTTTTATAATATTCTCTTATGTTATAAAGATCATGAAAATTGCTTATAATAACGATTTGCATGAAATAGCTTGAATGAAAGACTAATTCGATACTCTTTTTTTAGACACCGATGCGTTTTATGCATAGCACACAGTTAACAGCATATGAGCGGCAACGGGGTATTTCACGTGGAGCTATAAACGATAAAATGCAATTAAGTGTCCCAGATTTTAGCGCCATCCCGAATATGATTTCTAAATCTTGAAAATGACTCAATTGAACAATGAAATGGATTGTATTATATAATAGTTTTTTTTTATTATACAATAGATTGAAAAATATCGAAATTGTTATTGGATTACTCTACGTATTCCATTATGTATGTTTTATCACATATTTTACTTACATTGCGCGTTTCACATACGATGTCGGGAAGCTGCCTGTTTTCGTGCCTGATTGGAAGAAGCAGGGCTGCATCTTCATTCTGAAGCAATAAATTCTATGTTTATAATTATTGCAAGTTATTCTCATTTCAATAAAACGTAATAAATCACTTACATACATTTACATATGTGCATAGTCTGTTAATTCGAAAATATTGTGGTATGACAAGGGTTTAAATAATTAGTAGAAAGCAGAAAGGAACTGTTAGCTTTGCTATCAAGGGAGAAAGCCAACAGGCATTCGCGGTTTAATACTAATTCGTGCACTTTTAAAAGGTAATATAGGTTTGTGAATATAATGAGATAATTTCTACAATTTGTTTTTATAACAATAATAAGCATTATTTAGTTTTATAGTATAATAAAATTAATTAGCAGTAGAATTATACAATAAGTTAATATTATTTCAAAATTCAAATTTTTGTTAAAAAAGATTTTAAAGTTTCAATTTTTTAATTTATATAATTGCTATGAAAATAAATAATACTTGTAAAATTGGTTGTGTGTGTGTGTGTGTGTGTGTGTGTGTGTATACACTACTGAAACTGAAATCTTTTTTAACAAAAATTTGAATTTTGAAATATATATATATACACACAACCAATTTTACAAGTATTATTTATTTTCACAGTAATTATATAAATTAAAAAATTAAAACT